AATTTCCATGTAAATGCCACGCGCGACGTAACGCTGTTTTGCCTTACCTCTGGAACGATAACAATTCATTTCCCCTCTCGTGCATCCTCTCTCTTCTTCCTCGGTCAACTAATGAATTATTCATATTCGCTTCGGATACATTGTTAAACTCGCGAGTTAACAACAATGTTCTCGGCAACATTTAACGACCTAGTAATTTCGATATTACAAGTTGCCGCAACAACATTCAATACCAGAAATTAATTAAAATGTAATTGCATATATAAAATGATAGAAATGTGTCGTACCTTTATCGTTATCGTTTATCGATAAGAAAGCTTATCATGCCGCAGTAAATACAATTAAAACGAAATGTATACATTTCGTTCTAGAACTTTTTTACATAATTATAAAGTATTATTATCGAACAATTTAATAATAAAAAAAAACATATATGTTTTTTTTTATTATTAAATTGTTCGATAATAATACTTTATAATTATGTAAAAAAGTTCTAGAAATTATTCCTTAACAAGCTTGATTTATAAATTTAACAGCAATTTTGCAGTATAATGGACACATTTCAAGAATGTAAATTGGAAATGATTTCACTCAAATGAAATATTATTTGACAAATCCATCTCTCTCCTTCTCTCTCCTTCCTACTGTTGTTTTATTTTTCCAGACGTAATTACCGTGAGACATCAGCGCTCTTGGTGTGCTGCAGCGGCTCGAGGTTGTATTTTCAGCAATGTGTCACCCGACACGCGCTTACGCCAGCCGTTTATTTTTGCAACGTATATAGCCCTTGTAAAAATAAAAAAGATTCGAACGCGGGAACGGCGGGATGTCGAGGAGGGTCCAGGATGCGAGGAATTATACCGACGACCGCGAAAGAGTGCCACTTCAAAGAACTTTGCGAGGTCTCGTTATTTTATTACCACGAGGTTGGCGCACGCGGAAAGAAAGATCGGCTCTGAATCTTTTCGTTCGCATGGCAGTTTTTGTTTGCAAACGTTTTCCGAAAAATTGCGAAAAAAATCGACTCTCCAACTCTTTCGAGATGATTTCTCATATGTATAATATGTATTGAGACTATACGAGTACATTATAAAATGATTAAATATGTAATGAATCAATGTTAAAATAATAACACATGATTAAAGATATTTAAATGATTAAAGATATCAAACTGTAAAATTGAATCAATATTGAACTTAATAAATTGATAAAGAGTTGATTATTAATATACGTGATGAAATAATTGTAATAATGAACTTGCAGCTGATATATCGATAGATAAATTTATCGTCGATATTTATTATTATTATTATTATCATCATCATATCTTCTATATTTGAGTATTCAAAATTTTATTGTAATGCTAAATCACGTTAAATAAGTGAAAAATTATTAAGATAAATGCTCCTTAAGTTTTCAAAGTTTGACATTTTTGAATTCAGACAATAAAGAGACAATCATAAGTCCAAAAACATTCATGGAAATGATGGCAAATGACCTCACTTGATTTTGCAAGGTCAGAAGTCATTATGTGTTATTCCGAAATCGCGAAAAACTTATTATGCGCTAAACGACAGACAAACTTTCTGAATTATTCACGAGTCGTCTCGAGTTGAATGTTATTCCGGTGCTGCAAACTTCATCGATGACAATCTGTTATTCGTCAATTTGGACTAAAAACGTGGCGTTAATCGAAAATCCGATAGCAACGTTCCGCGACGCAATCGATTTCGCGACATTCTCTAACTGAAATTTAATTCGTCCGCCGGCCCATTAAATCAACTGGCGCCATAATCACGCGTAATCGATGCGCGTATCATATTAATATTTATTATATCACATTATCATTCGCATTTAATAATGCATTGATATTTCGCAGTATCAGAATCAATGTATTAATATTAGTCGACAATCGGTGTATAATATGTATTAAAAGCAAAGAATGTTTTACGATTATACTATCTGCTATAAAATAATACCAGATAGTATTATATAATTTTAGATTATAAATCCTAATTTTGCATGCCAATCAATATTGCAGATAAAATATCGATGCTATGTCGAGCTGAAGTAATTTTTGTTCTAGTACAATAATTTATTTAATATTAAAAATATTACAATTAGAATTTCTCGACGGAATCCATACATGTATACGAGTATATGCCTCTAGAGATTATTAGAGTATAAATATCTTAAATGACGTCATGCGAAATACGAAAGCAAAATACCGCATACAATCTGAACCTGTAAACAACGGTTACGGTCGAAGATGCAAAGAAATTATAATCGATCGGAATGAGGGGCGGCTTGTCGGCGAATCAGGAAGAACAACAGAATGATGGCTCGTAATGAGAGCTCGAGTAACCCAGAGAACGAGAGAAAGGAAGATAAATAGACGTGAGGGAGGCTGCGAGGCCGATGGCTCGAGAAGAGAGACGAAGCTAAGAAACGACCTCTTGAAGATTAGAGCGAAATCCCCGCGGACAAAGACCGTGCAATTCTTGCTCCTCGATCTGTGTTATGCCTGTTTTACACGACATATATATATTTAGAAATTCATTAATTATTTTATAGATGAATAGACTGAAAGAGCCCGAGATTTTGTCTTGTAATGTAGAATTTTTTTTCATAAAAATAAGTATTAATTTTTACATAGAAATTATATATTGCATTTTTGTGGCTTTCTTATATCAATTTATGTATGCTTACATGTAATTATTCATATAATAAAATTATTTATACTATAAAAATAGAATATGATTACTTTTTTTATAGACATAAATTTCATCATGTACAAAAATATTTTATGATATTAAATCGCGCGTATAGATCGTGTAAAACAGACTTTACAGCCGGCGGGAGGTTACTGGCCTCTTCCTCTATCGGAATCACAAGGACCTTTTCCTCCCTCCTGAGTCAGCCTTTCCTCTTTTCGCCCCCTCCCGCATTCCCGATACGATTCCTCTTATTTCTCTTTTCACCCTTCTCATCCCACGACGATTGCTCGACGGCGGTTCAGGCGATGCCGGCAACGTGTCTTTTGTCCGCGGACCGGTTCCTGCTGGTTCCTCGAACCATTTATTTCCCTCGCGTCCCGACTATATACGACTCCTTCTCCTCTCATCCCGCTCTACTCTTCTCGCGTTCTCTCCCCATAACCCGTTCTCCCAATCCTCTCTCCCCATCCTCTCGTACTTGTCCTTTTTCTCGCCCCATCTCGTCGTCCCTGTCGTCCGATCGTGTTACATCTTTTTTCGGTCGATTCTTTCGCACTCGAAATAACGCCCCGGTTCCTGGCAGCATCCCGAGAGTCCATGAATGAACGCGGCCAAATCGCACGGAGGAGTCACCGGCTCGTCTGACCTTCGCGCGGGTCGATTCGGCGCATCTATCGACAACGACAGCGAGGACAACAACGACGACGACGACAGCAGCGACGACCGCGTTTGACCTCGCTTCATCGACCATACCAAGACTTGACACTGGGTCGACGTTGGGTAGCTCGCAATCACCTAGACACTTCCGCCTTGGCATCGGTGAAGGGACGTTATAGTTACTGTTTCGATATCGTTTCGTCCAACGCTGTCCCACGATAATTTTACAAATTTTATATCATATCGCGTATTTTCCTGAATCAATGCTCTTTCCAAATAAGAGAGAGAAAAAGAGTTTTATTTTATTAATTAAAAAAATTTTTAATTAAAATAATTCTTTTATTATTTAAAAAAATTATTTACTGATTTTTAAAGCATCCTAAAAATATAGAAAAAATTCAAAAAAATATTTGAGACTTTCAGATATATATTAGATGCTTCATTTTGCGAATCAAAATAATATTGTGCGCATTACTTGCAACAATCGACTTTGGAGCGTTTTCCGCATCCTGACCCGCGATGTTTACGAGTGCTCGCCAATGTACGACACGAGCGCGATATCACGATTCTTTTATCGCGCTTTTATTATGATACCCGAGACGTCGGGGATCCAATTGTTAAATCGGAATTCTTTTCGTTCGTTTGTTACACGGACGAGGACGAGATTGCTCGAATCGATCGATCGGCGAAACGATCCAACGACGAGCACGGGCAAGAATGGCACGCCAAGTAATACTGTGACGGCTATCGGAAACCGAGAGTGCCGGATAAGCTTTTACTATCCGATAACGATTAACGACCGTCGGTCGTCCGATTGTGCGAGCCCGACCCAAGTATCGAGCAACCGATCGGTTCGTCGACTTTAAAAAGGTTTATCGGTGCGCGGCGCCTGCTTCAAGTTCGCCTCTCAATGAAGTTGAAGAAAACTCGGGAAATGTTACGAGCTCTACGTTCCCCGAAAGTTCGCTGCCTTCGGAACACGATTAAAACTATATTCATCAGCGCGCGAGCACTTCCGCTCCAACTAGAAGCGAGATTAGGGGCAGACATTCCGCGAACCGACTAATGAATTTCGGACAACCAAGAACTTTGCGTAGCAGAGTTTGGCTCCATTTACGCTCCTATTAAATCTCAATTTCAAATGGCACGCCATTCATGATTAGCCAGTCATTCCAGAAAGTCGAATTTCTCACCTGCTGTCGGATTCGACTGGATCGTCCGCGAAAAAATCCGAATACACGAGTAAAGAAATTTAAATTTTCTAAACTTTGGAAATATTAATATATGTATATTTAATTACTTCACACAGATACATTATTCTTTGCAAGCGCATGCCTCTTTCGCGGTTCTTATAATGATGTTAATAAATGTTTATGTATGAACATTTATGTCACTTTTGACAAGGTACGATCATCTGATTTCTCACGGATGATAATCAATTACATTTGCGCGATATTTTGCAATTCATTCATATTTCGCAGGCTTTCTAAATCCGACAATCCTATGCAATCTCATGATGAAGTAATTAGGAAAAGACGTAAATTGTGCGAAAGATTGTAATCACGCGTATCTCGACATTTCATGCAAGAAATTTAGAAATTAAAATAAGACATAAAGGTCGCTTACCTTTTTCGAGATGCTGAGATATCGGACTTTGTACCCTTGGAGTTGCCTGCAACTGCGCCGCGTTTCCCGGTCGTCTTCGAGGCCTTCTTCCAGGTCGGGGCTAAAAGCAAACAAATCAAAAACATCGATTAATCATTGAACAGTTGGGAATAGAGACCCTCTAATGGCTCTCTAGTTGGGAAATATAAATATATGTTTAGAATAAAAATTGTACGTAATTAAAAATTTCGATTGCTCGGACATATCTTTGAATTGTGTACTCGTTTGATGTATTAATATTTAATAATGTATTATAAGAAAACACAAGTTTTGAATAATAAAAGTGGAAATTTAAATAAATATGATTATTAATCTCATTTTTAACAAGAACAAATTGCAAACATCACGATCATCGGATGTTAATATACATCGCGTGCAACAAAATTGTTTTCATGCGCTTTCTTTCAAAGTCAGCTGATGCCGGATTAAAATGAACGATCGTGCCAATTTATTACAACGCGACCGATCACATAGATTACAGGCATATTACGAGCACGCAAAATTGCAACTAAACTACAATATAACCATATACTGCAGAATCGATTCGTATGTGATTACGACACGTCAAGTTTAACAAGAGATATTGCGATAATAAAATGTCTTTATAAAAATAAATAAAATAATAAAAAATAATAAAAAATAATATAAAAATGATACAAATCACACACGAGTTTTTCTCCGCTCAGAAAGTATCGTTTTTAATATCCATTTAATTTTAAAATGCACATGCACATAAATACAACGTTGGATCGCATTTTACGCAGCGGAAATGCCACGAGACGCAATCGCATCGAATATCGCGATCGTACGGCGTGAATAAGAGTCATTTCGCTACATCTTTTCGAGTCGTTGGCAGCACGTCGTCTGCGATATCGCGCGAGTCTCGCATCATGATGAGTCGCGCAGTCGACCGCGTTTTATGGAGTCTCGATGATTCCGGGGTTCTCTATTTCCTTGCCGCATCGTCATCTTTCGCTATCCGTCCTTACTTGCGCTATATATGCCCGCTACATATGTACGCGTATACATACTCGCAGTCAGATAATCGTAATGTCCCGGCTCTTTGTTGCCGCTCGTAAAACTCGCTCGCACACGGAGGAAGCGCGGAAGGAACGAGAACGGGAGAGACGAGTTTATACCGTCTTTGTTTAACTGCCGCATTTATTACCGCAGTGATAAACGGGAACGCGCAGAGAAGCGAGGATGCTCCGAGATAAACGCGAGCGAGCATTTCGCTTGTGTCCCACTGGCGACGACCTAAATTTTAACGATTGATTTCACGACAAACTTGCAGATTGTTTCCTGCGAAAATTTCGTAATTTAATACAACCCAAAGTGTGAGTCTAAATGAACAATAAAGTTTTGTGAAAGCTTAGGAGAAAGGTTCTTATCTTCGACTTTGCAACTCGAAAATCATGTGTCTTCCATAGTTTAATTAGGAAAAATTCTTTATTATTGAAACTAAAATCATCGAGTACAAAAATGTTCCATATATATTAAATATATTGTGAAATAATATAACGCATAATTATACAGCACGTAAAAAAAAATAGGAATAAATACAGACTAAATTACAAGTGCATCTAGTGCCAAGTATTCCAGGCATTTCTTAATAAAATCCTAAATTTCCGCAAGAATAAAGTTAAGCCTTAAATGCTTTGCTAAATTACTAAAATTTTTTTATCTTAAATTTTCTTTGGGATGCACCATTTGAGGTATTGTAATCCTTTTTTCGTATATCAATATGGTCATTAGTGAAATACATTACATACATTATACGTATCGTACATGTTATATAATACAAATATAAAAATGTAAAGGAGATTAATATCTTTCTGCCATATGTAACAATAATCTTGCAACAATTCAATATCTTACCAAACATTTATTAATTATGGTATTTTCCATTTATGGTAATATGCTTCGAAAAAAATTTTGATTATTTTATAATCTTAAAGTGCATCAATATATGTTGTACGTAATCAGTAATAATATATAAAATACGCATTTTAATTCCCATCAAATTATTTCATTATCTGTTATAAGAAATATTGTCACATCAATGTTGTACTTTAAAAGCCGTTTTTGCCACATATGAGTGCGACTAAGACAAAAGATTCTTAAAGTCACGAGTCGAGTCAGGAGGAATTTCTCAAACTAATGTTACCGAAAAATTTATTCGGCATACCTCGCGTGCGTATGATACACAAGTCATTCTTTGCCGACTCTCCTTTCGTATTTTTGCAGCAGAAAAGGGAGCGAGGACCTGCGAGACACACTCGCCGCGCGTCCGGGCGGAAGAATCCACCTTCTGCTCTCCCGTGTGTGTTTTATTGCAAATTGAGGTTAAAGTCTCTGGCATGGAGCCAGGCATTTCATCTAGGCCGTTGCATTCCGGCGAATACACACGAGCATTATATGTTTGCCTATGTGTCTCGTGTACGCGCGCAAAAGCACCTTGATCGCATATATATATATATATATTATATATATATATATATATATATATATTTAAGGGAAAAGCTCTTATGTACAACCTGCGCGCTTTAAAGTACGATTCGCGTATATAATATATGTGTCTGGATATATAAAGACTTTTGAATTGAAAGTACATTTTTTTCAATCAAGGTATGTCAAGATGCCACTTGTTTTTATATTGTGATTGGAAATAAAAAGCTTTGTGAAAAATAAATTCACGATTGAATTGTATAATTAAAGGTAAATTAAATGATAGATTGCATGATTCATAACATCGAATTAATTCTACAAGTTTAAAATTTTAACTCAGAGTTTTAATATTAAATATTAAAAAATTGCAACAAACGATTTCTCTTAAAATTCTCCCAAAATTTTCTTAAAATTCTCGTTCTTCGAGTAATAAATCAAAGATATTTTAGAAGACAAAATTACTATGATATCTGAGATCGTAAAATAGAACAACAAAGAAATAAAGGAAATTACAATTTGCATTACTTGCTATTTTTTTCGTAACGTAAAGAAAAATGAAATATCACGATACTCTTTATGAGAATTCGATATAAATAGTTAATGCATATGCCAAGCAGGAAATAGTTTAGCATATTCGAGTATCACGTTAGTCGATTTTATTTTTACTCACGTCTCGCGCAAGCGAAATGTAATAATCGACGACGACGGATGATATCCTATAATGGTATTAACGTATCGTCGAGATAATGGCATCTTCACCACCGGCGGATATAGGCGGACGCATTACGTGCGCGGACAGCATCTTTTCCCGACATATGCTAATCTAATTAATGCTTACACGAGAACGTGCGCGCGTATGATGAGAAGCAATGGCGTATTTATTACTTCGGAGTCCCCTCGAGATACGCTGCCGGACATTTAAAATTTCAATTTTTGAATTTTGCGTGTCAATTAAATTTAAAAAGTAAGAAAAGATGTGCATGTACGTTATTAGTTTATTCGATATTAACTATCAAAATAGAAGTTACATATTTCAGAACCCATATTTTTATCGTCAGAAACAAAATTAAATATAAAATTTAATTTGATAATAAAACACAAGTTATATATATCTTTGATTCTCTCTCCTATCAAATATGTATTTTGAAAACTTTATGATCTCTTACTATGTGTAATTACACAATAAAAAATTAATGGAATCGAAATCTACTAGTTCGTTATATTATCAAATAATTTCATTAAAGAGGTCAAATCGAACAGAATAGATTTTATAATTAATTTAATTTGTAACAATTACAAATTTTCTTTTTAGACTCTTTATAACTCTCTTTTAGACTTTCTATAAATTAAACTAGACTCCAAAATGTGTCATTGATTAAGAGACATAAGCGGAAGATCTGTTCTCGAATTACGAGATCTCTTCTTAATTGTAACAAGTAATGCAAAATATAAATAAAACTGGATTAATCGGCGTTCGATACTGATACGAGCCAGTAAAAGACACAAATCGTGTTTCATCTACAAAAAATTATATGAAAACTTAAACAAGGTAACGTGACATGAATCGTTTAAGAGATAATGATTAAGATCGACTAATCTAAAGACTGAAAGTAGGCATAATGATAAACCATGTAACATACATATAATTATTATTCCCTGCGTATATATTTATTCGCAATAAGATCTGATAAAATAATTTTGCCTTAAAAATTATTCAATTTTTTTACACACGTTGCATGATTTCAACTCTTTTAATCGCCAGGAAATCACTAATTCTGTCCGCTATAATTTTCCTGAGATGCAAATATTTTTTTCCTTTAATCCGATTCACTCTCGTCCGGGTCTATTACATCGATACCGTTCTACTAATTTATTAATCTTATCAATCTCTCTTATTTATACGACGTTTATAATGAGATATATCACGTTATAAGTGACATTATAGCAAGTTTGTGCGAGATAAGCAGGAAATGGCGATGTTACGCCAATGACAGGTATACGCGATACCGCACGTATGTAACGGACTACACGCATTGCGTTATATTTTACGCGCACATTTGCTCGTAAGTGTCGCGATAAAATTTAATGGACCAAAAAGTCTAGCAGCCCGTTTATTTTCCGTGGTTTTGTATCGTTCATTTTCGATATTATCGCGACCAATCGATTCGGGAATTCCGATTCTCCTCTCCTTTAAGAATCGATCTATCGGTGCAAGAGTGACCCTTTAAGTCGATGCGGCTTCGTTTATTTGTCATTCGTGCAAATTGCCACACATTATATATATGTTTGTAATGTTTTTGTTTAAGTAAAATTTCAATAGTGCAATACATATCTTTAATTAAGTGAGCGCTTTAATTAATGCTTTTCGAAATATTCACGATTTGGCATTAATTACAATTTTGCATTTGTAAAAGAAAAGTATTTACTTTTATCAAACAAAATTTGGACGTCTAATGCAAAAAGAAACGATAGCAATTTTCGGAGTAAACAATTTTTCACGAAATTCGACTCAAACAAATATTCGATTATTTAATCTTTCTACTTGAGAAAAAACAATTTCGTTTATAATGATCAACTTATCATGAATTTCGAACTCTATAACAACGTCGTTTT